ACGGATTCGTATAACACGGAAAATTTTTAATATTTGTTTGTTTTAAAGTAAAATAAAAAATATTTTAATATTACATGTTTAATATTTACTTTGCATTTTTTATAGTAAGCCCTTACTTCTTTTATAAATATGTGTTTCTATATACGTAATCCATATTAATTTTTGTGATTAAAATGATTCTTTGTAATATTATAATTTTATCAAGGAGAATTAAAACTACTACCACTTGGGTTGATAGAAAGACCCTTAGGAATACAAAGATGCATACCACTTGGGTTAAGTTAGGTAACACAATTTTGTTTTATTTTTTAAGAGTAGTTGCACTACAATTATTTTTTAAAGCAATATATATATTCTCTTTTTAGTTGGCGTAATTTAAAAATTTCAAATATTTTTTTGAAATAACATATCACTTAGGTTGAGTTAGGTAACGCAATTTTGTGATATAATTTTGTCAAGGAGAAATAAGGCTACAACCACTTAGATTGGTACGTACCTATCATTTGGATTGAGTTTGGTAACGCAATTTTGTGATATAATAATAATTTTGTTAAGGTATATATGTATATGTATACCTATATATATTCTCTTTTTGTAATTGGCGCAGTATTAAAAGATTTCACATATTTTTTTTTTAAATAGATACTACCTGTTATTTAAGTTTTTTTTAGGTAGATATCACTTGGATTGAATAAAGTAACAATTTTTTAATATAAGAATTTTGTTAAGAAAAATTAAAGCTACTACCACTTAGATTAGAATAGATTTTATTTATTTTTTAATTTAATATAACAAAATACGGCGACGGGCAACGTCGTCGTTACAACGTCGGCTTCATGCTCCGGTTTTACGCACGAAAAAGAAACCGCGAATTCGAAGTAAAACTTGATACCGAGCCCCGTCGATATTCTTTCCCTCGCATTCTCGGACCGACTCAATTAACTCAGCTGAACGTGCAATGCGGACGTGACCGAATGCGCGAAGGAGCGAGCAAAGGGTGTGGGTTATAGCTAATGAGATTTAAAGATTAATCGCCGCGCGCGCGCTCTTATATATTGACCGACTTGTTGACCGAATACCCTCGAGTAAAGTTTCACTCTCGTCCAAGGTAATACCAAAATAGCCAAAATCTTTTGGCTATTCATGTAGAATTGTTCACTTTGAATTGCTGTTCGGATTTCAAATAAGCTGTATTCATAACTTGAATGGGTTTACGATTCATCGAAAAAGAAGGAAACGGCAATCGTAAAGCATTGTTCTTTTAGGATACCCACATATTGTCAAAATTACGACAGAGACAATCCAACGCTATGAGAAACTTTGTGTCAGCCGCGGCCTATTCACTTATTTCTATGGCCCTTGACAATAATCTGCGTGAACAAGGATTTAAGAGCGATAGGGAAGTACAGGTTATTATAGAAACTTTCTTTTGTTCCGAAAAGAGACTTCTATAAAAGAGGTATTTATAAGATTCAAGACGGGAAAGGATAATTGAATCAAATGGAAATTACCTCGCTGAATACAATTAGTTTCGATATGAATTTTGCGCTCCCTTCTCTCCGTGAGTGCTAGAAACGGGCAAAAACTTTGGTGGTCACCCGATGCGGTCGTACTTATGTTGCGAATAATAAATGCCCCGTCCGTATAATCGTTGACGGGGGGAAAAAAGTACGGGGGATCGATAAAATATTATACAACGTAATCTGCATTGAGATAGTCGCGCATCAATCACCGGCAGCGATAATACGCTGTATAATGCGGCACGAACACTCGGAAAATAATAACTCTGAAATTAAAAATACGCCGATGGACATCGCGCAACGGAAATTCATTTAATAACTCGAAAGTCCCTTGCCCCTCTTTTAAATCCACGAGTCACGCATGTAAAAATCCTGAGAGGAAAATACGATTTCGAAATTAGCCGACGCGCGGGAAGTGTGTCGCGACGATCTCTAAACGCGGAGAGAAATTTTAAATCCGCGATGACAATTCCGCGGATAATGCATTTCCAGAATAACGCTCCATTTGCATATCTCGCATTTTTTTGCGACGATGGATTTTCATACGTTAACATACTGTTCCGATTTCGAGATCTTGCCCCATTCTGATTTTGGGCGGAATATTTTGAGAAAATTAAATTTCCTGACTTATATATCGGTGCGTTGCGCGTTCCACATTTCTAATTTCCGACCGAGTGTACGTACATACGAATATTTCTGAGAGGCGCATTCTCGAAGTTAGACGAACGGGACGCTATCTTGAATCTCATCCTTAAATATCTCTGCGCTATATTTGTCCATACGCTTTTTGGCGTATTGTCCGATTATTTATTAGTGCATTCAGAGATTCTGTCTTTTCGAGTCTTTGACAATAGGCATTGTTGCTACCGTTGGATATATCGTTATGCCGTTGTTTAAATTATGCGAGCCTCTTTTGGCATTTTCCACGCTGCTGTAACACCGCGTCTCACGGTATCAAATCCCTCACATCGATCGGCATATACACGGCATACGGCGCAGCGCGATTTCAACCGCCCGTAATTTTCATTAGAGATGCGCGTATTTGTCGCGTCCCCGCTCGCGGACCCATAAGGCAGCTTATAAGCGGCCATCTCGTCTGATATTACAATGTGCAGAGACACGGAATCCGGAGTAGTAGCCATGTTCGCTGATATTAATTAGTAGGAAGGACAGCACGCGCGCGCGCGAAGCACCGAAATAGTCCTCGCTTTTCAACGTTGCTTTGTTGACTCTGCTACCGTATCTTTCTCTACGCAAATTATTTTATAATTACATTTTTAGTATTAGAGTAACTCCAGTATATATGCCGCAGCTAAGGGAAACTTAATTTATCGAGTACTATTTACTATGTTTAAGGAAAATGAATTATACTAATAAAAACGTTATACTGTCTACTATACTATAAAAAAATAGAAATATGAAATATTCATTCTTTGTATTTAATAAAAAAAAAAAAAACTTTTAGAAACCCTTGCATTTTTCCATAGGGATGGGATATATGACATTATTCATGGGTGAATATATATATATATATATATACGCCTTATAAAACAAGCAAAAAATTGTGCAAATTAGAAATTTGCACTTGGCTTCCTCATAGAGGAAGTGATGTCTTAAGATGCTAATACGGCCCTCTAATTGGCTGATGATGCCTTAAGACTATACTTAAGACGATCTTGGATATAAGACCCGACTATGAATACCGGCCTTAAAGAATTATATATGAAATAGAAATATAGAAAAGACTGAAGAATATAATAAAATTAAAAAATTTTGGTAAACCTTTTTTTAACAGAAATCGGTAACCCCTTTATTATTAACAATTTTTATTAATTCTATTATATTTTTCAGTCTTTTCTACCCCTATTTCATATATAATTCGTTAAGATTTGGTTGATCAGTTCTGGAGTTATAGAAATTTCTGTAAATTTGGCACAGACATACATACACACATACCGACATTTTTTTTAATGCAATATTTCGACGTTTTAAAACACTCTGAACATATTGACATTAAAAACTCAAAAAACAATCTTTTCTTTGGTTTCTTCTACCCCTATTTTATATATAATTCTTTTAAATTTGGTTGATTAGAGCCAATTTTATACGCAATCAAAGGTTCATATACGAATTTACGAAAACAAAGCTTCCTCTATGAGGAAGCAAAATTACAAGTAATGTTTATAAATAAGGCAATAAAATGTCATAATAAGTTATAAAGTGTGTGTAAAAAATTTATTAAGATGTAAGAATAATAAATAAATTATAAAACAAAAAAATTTTTTAAAGAAAATAGAAGAACGATAGATACATTAAAGGTTATTGGTATACGATCAAAAAGAAAAGAAAGAAAAAGAACACATAGGAGATTTCGATTTTTACAGAGCGTCTGTACTATGGCATAAATCCCGCATGCTAAAATGCCATATATCCTAAATAGAAGAGATATATAAAGGGATATGTCAAGCTAAACAAAGAATATAAGAGCTATGCACTTGTATTTTGCTGTATTCCATCCTTTACTATCCCTCTACACTTATGTATTATGAAATAACCATTAAACCTTTTACATTCCCTATCAGTAATCATTTTACGTAGGTCGTAATATATGATCGCGCTACTTACTACGGTGAGAAATCGATTCAACTCACGATGGTTTCGTTAATATTAACAGTAAAGAACTGAAATTACAACACAATACTAATATGGCACATAACACAGTATGATTTGCGAGCAAGTATCTCTATTCTTTCTATTTTTCTGACTTCTGCGGCATAAATCTTCGCGCGGCGTAAATACCAGAGTTACCCTATACTTAATGTGTATAACTGTAGATACTACTATATTACGAATGTATAATGTATGCTGAATTGTTCTGAAAATTTGCATAAATTTTATAATCATCATCAAAATAAAAATGCAAAAATTATTTCTTAACTTAATACGACAGAAGAAAATGTAACTAAAAGAGCAATTAATTATTGTTATTATTAATATCAAGTTATGCTTAATTAAAACATCTTTGAGGTGTTTTAGTTAAGCATAACTTGATATTAATAATAAGTTAAGCATAACTAGTAGTTTTAGTTAAGCATAACTAAAACATCTTTGAGGTGTTTTAGTTAAGCATAACTTGATATCGTCACAAAACACCTTTGAAAAAAGGAACCAATTAAATCTAGAAGCATAAATTTCCTAAAGAAATAAACAAACATGCTGCATGTTTTTTAACATAGGTATATTAAATTAAAAGTTTTACATAAAATGCGAATGTTATTTTATAATATTTAATATCATATACAGGAACGATAAATTGGTATATATCAGGAATGTTAACTTTTTCGTTCTCATTATATAGTCATAATTATATTTAGTATTATAAAATAAAATATCATTGCCTATATTTTTATATCTGAAAATATATATTAGTTTTACATAAATAACAGTAGCAAATCATATTTTAATATGTATTGGAAAATTTCTCGCTAAATATTATCAAAAATGATCAAAAATGCAAATATTTTTTTTGTAGCTGTAAAATAATTCTGGGAATAAAAATTAGGCTAAAGCCAAAGTTTTCATTTAAAAATATCATTATGCAATGTGAAAATCTATTCATTATATTTATTTTCTGCATTATATTAATTTATTCACATTCTATTCTCAGGTAAAAGTAACTTATTCCTAAAACGGAATGAGTTATCTTCTCAAAGATTGCCTGCATATTGGAAAACGATGTTCTCAGAACATCTTATATTTTGGCATTTCTTCAAGTTATTATTTATTGCGTATATCAAGTAATTAGATTTAAAATTTATCCAAAGAAACGTATGCCGGATTGACCATCGCAGTGGTGATGCTACCGTTATCCAGCGTATCCTGCTGCTCAGCCGCCCTCCATAACTTCGTGGGCCGGAATAAACTCAAGAAGCTCTGCGAACAATTAAAAGGGCACAAATTAAATTGTTGCGGATCCGATAATGGGCGAGATACGTGTCGACGGCGCCGTTCACGTTCTCGCGAGGTCATATCTCCTTGCGCGAAACCGCACAAGTACTTTCGAAGTGTGCGCGGAACGCCCGAAAACAACGGGAGAGGGAGATAAGAGTAATGTTAAATTTATCGGCTAACAGAAAGCGGAAGCGGTCAAGAAAGAGGGCAGCCTTTCCCCCTCTCTCCTTCCTTCTCTTGGAGATAGAATAGGTGCAGTTCATACAGGGCCGCTCTCTCTGTTGACATAGAGTAAGTAAAATTAAAAATATTACGAATTGTTTTCTTGGAAATTATTAAGTTTCTTTTGTCTGAGCGGTTTATCAGATATGATGTCATAACATCTTATGAATTAAAGAAAAAACTTTAGTGAACTCTAAAATATTAAAAGATATATTATCTATCATATTGAACTATAATAATTCCAAAGAAAATAGCTTATAATATTTTTAATACAGTGCCCTGCGCAAAGTGTTCATGCAAAGTATTCATGCAAAATTTTATTTAGCACCTCTCATCGTATATAAAAAAAAAACAGGATTTTTACAGGATACAAAAGTGACATTTTGCAATTTAAAAATGCGAAAAATTCAATATAAAGATTCGAAATTTTCACGCATTTATTTGCAAAACAATTTATACAACGCGATACCCTCCAGTTGCTGGGAAAAATTCGAACGCGTATAGTGGATCGTCAGTTTAATTAAAAAATTTAATCCCGTAAAATGTTCTTTTAAACATATGTCAATTTGTATATTTTCAATTTCGTTAAAGCTCGCAATTGGCGACTCTCAGCGCTTTGTACGGTTGCGCCCTTTGTGCGATGCATGCACCGCGATTTGCACTCTGGGCTTTCGGCGGCCCTGTATATCTGAAGCGATGGAGAGTGGCAGGCTCCCTTCCTCACCATGAAGAAAACTTTTCGTTTCAAAGTACGATTACCGACGTACTGTGGAAAAACTTGTATTAAGACGTTCCCCGAGTTCTCCGAGATTTTACGACGCGGACCGCAACTTCTAAATCGGCCCGTAACCGCTACCGTGCCGACAGCGGCACGTAGCTTTCAGGAGATTCTTGCTCTAATCGAGATATCGAGAATAGGGTGATGGAATAATGCAGGCAACGACATTGACATCGCAATTTTCATTTTCGATAGAAACCATTTTTTAATGCGTTATATCCAAAGACTTATATTATATAATAAATTGAGCCTTCCCATTGAAGAACTGTAGATCTAAAAATCTAAAGGACAGAGATATGCTTATTGGGATGCTTTTCTTGCTTAATTGTATAGTCACCAACTGGTGGGGAGAAAGAGAGGTGCACAAGGAAAGCATCCTAGTAAGCATAAGTGTAGTCACCAACTGGTGGGGAGAAGAAAAGATGGTGAGAGAAAAGATACACAAAGAAAACATCTTAGTAAGCATAAATGTAGTCACTAACTGGGAGGTGGGGGAGGGGGCTACACAATTAAACAAGGAAAGCATCTCAATAAGCATATAAATATCTGTCCTTTAGGGCCGGTTGTTCCAACCTGTTGGTAAACTAACTAATAGTTAAATCATATATGTATCTTTGTTTTTATTTCAAATTAAAGAAGGATAGACGTATAATTTAACTATTAATTAGTTTGCCAATAGATTGGAACAACCGGCCCTTAGATCTTTAAATCTACAGCTGTCCAATAAGAATGTTTAGTCTATTTAGTCTATTATATAAGTCTGTGGTTACATCCTATGAATTAAGTAAAAAGCTTCAGTAAAATATTTAAAAAAATTTTAAATAAATGAGGCACGGCCGATATAATATATAATTAATTAGAAAAAAACGGCTAGGACTGGATCTTACAATTAGCTTAATAATATTATTCGGGTAAATTTTATGTACATTTCTTCGCCTTAATAATAAGATTAATAAAATAATAATAAAATTCACATGAATAATATTATTAGGCTACCAATAGCCAGACCGTAAATGCGTTTTCCCTAATTAATTAAAAAGAATTTTGTCCATCCCTAATAATCCTAAAAAAGAATAATTTATAACATTCTTTATGCCGGATGCGTAATGGCTAAAGTTTTTACTCGCGTTTGATTAATCGATCGTACATAGGAAATGAGACAAGTTGGTCAAAATTGTTGGGAGATCCAATGATTCCGCAGCCGCTTCTACTTTCTCATTAGCGAAAATTAATGACCCCGATCTCCTAATAAAACAATCTCCCTTTCTTGAAGACGGCCAACCGGTAAGTCATTAAGCAACAAAGAAGAATACTGATTATTAAGAAATCTCAATTCGAACTTTTCTCTGAAAGGTCGACGTCTTTCATGCCTGTTTGATAAATGTGTCTTTGCAGAAAATAAATTATTTTTAAGCTTTAACTTTAAATACATAGTCATATCTGAATCATTGGTTAAAATCAATTATTTTTCTTATTTTGAGAAATATGATATATATACTACATCCAATAACTTTTCTGATATCTTAATAATATTAAAAATTTTTCCAAGAATTTTCTTAACATGAAATGACTGAACAGTGAATAAAGAGTTAATAACTAAAAAAATAAATGCTTTTAAGTAAATTCTGAGTTAAGTAAATGAGTTAATTAAACAAAGACAAATAAATAAATTTATTTCACTTTGCGGTTGTGTATTGTATATGTAGATGAGCGTGATAATTTATTGCAGACAGAAATAATTACGGATAGAGATTAGCTATTAAAAGCGGTTATTAGAATAAAGCAGTAGACATAAAATAATTTAAGAGAGTACTGTCTAATGTTTAAACAAAAGGAAAAGCAAAAATAGTATTATTATTTAACTACATTTTATTGGTGAGACATTATATTTCATTAATAGCAATATGTCTGTAAAGTAATGGTTAAACAGTAATAATGTAAAAAGAATTAATAATTTTTCAAGTAAGAAATTTTCGTATTGCAAATAGGCGTAACAAATATTATACTACATCTTTGTGCTTATTTGCCCGAGGGAAAAAGGGAAAGCGAACAAACCGTTAAGCAGTTATTCTGCGTCAATAAACAGCTCACTCAAAGAAATTTTCAAAGTGGAGGGAAGAAAAGAAGCCTTAAGATAAGCTTTGAAAAAATCTTTCACAACCAGACTTGATTTTCATGTACATCTAACTCGCATGAATTTCTACCTGAGCCCGAAAACAGCTATTAGCAGACCAACAAAAATTTCTTTTATTAAAGTCAAGTCTGGTTGTAAAAGATTTTTTCAAAGCTTATCTTAAGGCTTCTTTTCTTCTCTCCACCTTAAAAATTCCTTTGAGTGAGCTATTTACTGTGCTGATTTGTATTATTGTATAGAAGTTTGGGAATAATTGACTCACGACTCACCTCGGATTTCCAGACTCGTAGGATAAAGAAGACCGGCATTGGCACCAAGGTAGCCAATCCGATCCCGATCCCGATTGCTTCTGTCCAAGCGGGAAATACGTACGAGCCGTACTTTCCCCGAAACACAGTTTGAGCCATTTGATATCCAAAGATTCCCTGCAGATATAAAGGAAGCGCAATTGGTTAATTGCTTAGTTTCTCATATAGCAGCTGGAACTATGCTGCGGTGGATGATATACGTGCGCGAGAGCGTAGCACAATTAAGCAATTAAGGGAGATTTCGAATTTTTAATCAAAACTAACTTTCGCAGGGCGTACCGTTCGGCGGCCGTCGCGTCGAGGGAAATATTTCGATCCCCGTGACGGTGCGGACAAAAAATTTCAGCCGTTATAAATAAAAATTCGCTCGGCACGCCTCGACAGGCAGCCAGATTAATTAAGCAGTTTGGTCGTGGGGAATACGACGCTTTGTCTCTAAGGGACGCAAACCACCAGAGCTGTTGAGTTTTGCAAACCTAACTTAGTTAGTAATCTTGCCTAAAAAGTCCGATAGAAATAAAAAAATCAATATAATGCATTATATTTACTAATTCATAAAAGTTGAAAATAAAAATATTTAATTATTTGATCTGCATTACATTTTTTGATTCATAAAAATTCAAAATACAATAATAACAATAAAATAAATAATATTTAATAATAATAATAATAAAAATATCAAGTTTTTTGATCTGTTTTTATGAATTCTTTATCTGTTTTTATTTTATTTCTATTCTTAATAAACATACAAATTATTCATCAATAACGATTTAGATCTTTAATTTAAGTTTTAAATTGTAATTATAAACATATGATATTTTACTCCTATTACATAAATAATAATATATGCAAATGTATAAAAATATTTTTGCCTAAATGGATATTTAAATATCAAATTGTCAATTCTTTAGTTACATAGAAAAGTATGTTTCCAAATAAATTTTCAACTATTTAAGATTGATCGTATTTATTATAAGTATGTAAATTTATTATGTTACTAAAAATATATACTTTGATTTTGTACTTCTTGTAACTAGGGAAACCGGGGTTATATATACATATATATCATATATATAATTGGTACATTAGGCAAGTTGATACACGGTAACTATTGTAAAAGTGACAAAAGATAATACCACATAAAAAAATAAAGTATTTCCGCAAAAACATTGCGATAATATTTCAGTTAGTTATTTCAAGCTAAGTAGCGTATTTTCACAAACAGAAAATAATTTTAGTTTTTTTTTGTATTTTAATTTTGTATAGCCGAAAGTAAAATAAATCAGTGATATATTAAATGTTATATTTATAAATCTACTAGTCATTATATGTCATAATTCTAACTGTTTCTTTAAAATCTTTACTTTAAACGTGATAACTTCTAGTTATGTCAATTACTACGTTTACGCGAGCGTTACTTTTGTAGTAACTTACGATAATTTACTCGAGTGAATTATCGTACCTCCATATTCGGTTAATTGTTACAAAAGTAGTCGCCTTATAATTTTTATTGGTGCAACAAAATTAATTATACTATTTAATTTAAAGAATTGTTTTTGTATAAGCATGCGGGGCTATTGAAAAATTCTTTTGTGGCTTGTATTCCATCCTTTTGTGGCTTACATTGTGTTACATGTAAAAAAATTATTAAAAAGAAACGTACCAACTAGCCTCGGTCTCCCCTATTACTTACAATCATGATATTTTCAAACAGAATAGTTTTTCTGACAAATCATTATATATTTATTATAAAACTTGTACAAGTTGGAAAATTATCGGAATATTTCTGAACCTTACACGTTACTCCACTTTAACAAGCTCCTTGACGATCGATAACCTAAAGCTTTAGTTTCATTACTTTCCATATAAATTCGATTAATCGTCTCCACGCGATGGGTCGGGACTAATTTACGGTTTATTCTCTCTCACTGTGTCGCTAAACTTTCCGCAAAGTTTACAGTCAATAAACGTAGGCTCCTTACCTCGACGGGATTAACCATCGTCTTCCTTTCGTTTACTACCTCCGATTATATCATAGCGATAATATACATTGGAGTCGTTAAAGTTTTAATTGTTGTTTATTCGCGATCGTGTAGAGATAAGGATTATATATAATAACTTATTTCAATTACAATAAGGAATCAAGGTGACGCAAAATCACGGATTATATACCCGAAAGACCGTTTCATTGTCTTGCACGCTAAACGAAAGGGTTCAACCATAGATTTTCAATATGTGGATTTTCCATACTTTGAATAATTTTGTTACAGATATAAAAAATGTATATCAATTATATTTCACCGGTAAGTATATTGATTATTTATGTAATAGATCAAATGTTTGAACATTATTCGAATTAAATTTTTTATTTAAAATAAAACACTTTCATGTACAGGTACGCAATTATTTACATGCCGATGACCACGAAAGACTCGATTATTTAATTTTCTAAATACATTCAACTAAAATCATTTAATTATTTTTACTGAATTTTATATATAAAAGTATCAACATTAAAGACTTTTTCCGAATTTAGCAAATTTCCATAATTAAATACATCAGGATGGTGCAAGTTTAAATTTAAACCTGCCATTGAAATCACAAGATCCTCAATAATAAGATCCGCTGGTGTCGGGATCCTTTGTACCTGACCCTTTCTACCTGAAATATCTGCTTTGGCAGGTATCCCAAGCGAAAAGGGTTAAGCCTTTGACAGAGACACACTGTAGAAGATAAAATATACTTACTAGACAAGTGACGGGGGCGAGGACGACCCAGCAGAGCCACCAATATCCGCGAAGAAAACGGCCGAATTTAATTTTCATCTCGGCGATATTACCCAGAAATCTGTTACATCCGTACAGCCAGGAGGGCACAATGAGTTCGGCGAAGCCGATCAATAGGATAGCCCAGGAGGCGGTATGCCAGTCCATCAGCTTGAATAGGTAGATACCGCCGTCGAATACCATTGGAACCGCCAGGAGCCAGCAGGTAGCGCATATAGCCAGCACCACGAAACTCTCGTATTTTCGCAAATCCGGACGCCTGTCCAGTATGGCGGTGTTTATCGCTTGCACGCCTGCGAACTATATCGTAAAAAGTAACGACCGCGGCCGCGCATTTTCCTCCTTTTCTCGATTCCCCTCCCCGCGCGCCCATTTCCTTTCTTTCTTTCCTTTACTTTCTATTTCTACATCTTCCCTCTCTTTTTCATTTACTCTTGTTTCTCGTAGCGATAAGTACCGAGTTCTAAATCCGAAGAACGTCTAAATTTAAGACGTGGAAGAAACGAAAACCGCGAGCCCGCTCTCGATCATCATTTGCATCATAACGAATGTACACGCTCGATTGTATTCGCATCTGACAATATTCACGGTAGCATTTTTTACACGGTTTCTCGCTCGTTTGTGGCCGTGTTTCGGTTATCATCGGCGAAAACGCGCTGGAAAACGGCGGGAGAAGAGAACAGGGGCTGACGCCACGCCACGAGGAGGCGAAGAAAGTGTAGATTTCACTCTGAAACGGCGAGACCATAATTCCTTCCGTGATATACGAGCTTCGAGGTGAAAAGATGGGAGTCTCGCGATGCAAAAGCAACGCGAAACGATCGCCGTCCGGCTACTCCGCCGGGATGAAGCGCATATCCCTCTCTCACGCCCGCGGCATCTTTTGACAAATACGCCGGCCGTTTTTCAGGCGCCGTTCTGAATGGCGCCTTCTTAGCGCCGGAACGGATGTGAAATCTTCGTGAAATAACCATGTCGATGAGCGATGTCGAACGCTGGTACACCGTGACCGTATATCTCCCGCGAATCTGCTTTGCAACTTTTTAACGAAGGCGTTATAACTACGAAGATCTATCCTATCCGTGCAATTGCATGCGCTGAGAAACCGGTTTATCGCGTGTCTAAAGCACTTTATGATATATTATAGGTCGAAATGGCCGACATTCGACTAGCTGGCGATTGATTGCGAAAGTTAGGGTTATAACATTTATAACGCCGCGCTTAAGAGCATGGAAATTATCTGTATCTACCTCATAGAGACAAAGAATCGTATCATTATATAGAAATTTAGAGAAAACTGGATTTAAAGTTTGTTATTTCTATGAAACTTTTCTCAACACATTTTCTAAATAATCTTAAAAGGCTTCTATAATTAAAATCCTAATACGAAGAATAGGGCATAGAGCCGTAACAAGATGTTCGTGTTAAATTATTTTTAATAAACAATCCATATTTTCCAACCATAATAAACATTTTCTAAACATTGTATCTTAGGAACTAATAGGGGAGAGTAGGCAAACTGCGAATACGGAGTGAACGCGAACGATTACTATTGTAGTATAAAGTATATTAGAGTAGTGATATTCTCCCACTTCTCGAACCCAGCGATAGTTCGATATACGCTCAGTGGTACGAGTACGAGAGAGAAGTGGGAGAATATCACTACTCTAATATACTACGATAGTAATCGTTCGCGTTACCCCGTGTACGCAATTAGGTACCCCACTCACCCCTAATAATGGCCATAAGACCCTTTACCATTATACAACTTAAACTTCTGGAATATATTGGGAAAAGTAAATTTTTACACAAACTGGAGATAAGATTTTTTTACCTCTAAGATACAGATAATACGATTTTATAATTTTTTAAAGCGAAAAGATGCGAAAGTCTCTTTCTCGGCGTCTCAAAACACCAGTATCTATCCTTGTTATAGAGCGATGAAATGAAATAGCTATTACGCTTTTGATCTCAAAGCCAATGTCTCTAGCATAAAATTGTATTGTATTTTATTTTCTTCTCGGTATATTTGTTTGTAAACTTTTATGTATTAATTAATTAATTGAAGTGAAAATTTCGAATTATATCGCGAGAAATTCGAGCCGCGTGATCATTGTATACATGTTGCACGCATTATTTTGTTCCACTGCTTTTGTCTTTACTATTCTAAATATAACCAGAGAGTCGCGCGAAGTGCAAGGTGGCGAAAGTCCGACCAGCTTGCAAATATACAACTCGTTAGGACAAATGCAGTTAGCGCGGCGATGTTTCTCGTTATGCGAAGGAAAATTGAAATTCACATCTCTCGCTCTCTTCCTTCTCCTCCTTCGCCCTGCTTCCCTTATCTCAGCCGAGCTCATCGCATTAATAAGTATTTTTTTTTTCATCACTGTAAGTGACGAAGAGCGGAAGCGGTTTTTGCGCTTGCATGAAAGTGGAGAGATAAAATCTTTTTATAGTCTCCTTAAATGTTCGTGCGATAATATGTATGTTTCGCTTGCGTGTGCCTTACCTGACTACCGAGGCCGAGTATGAAGAGCATGAAGAAGAACAGGATGGCCCAGAGATTCGACCACGGCATTTGTACCACCGCCTCTGGGTAAGCGACAAAAGCCAGTCCCTCCGCGCTCTGGATCACACTGCCGATCGGCACTTTCATCTGCTTGGCCAGAAATCCAACTACCGAAAATACCACCAAACCAGCAAAAACAGATGTGAATAGGTTGGTGAATGTGACGATGATAGCGTCTCTGAGAACAAAAGGATAAAATTCAAATATCACCACATGCTTGACGAGTACGCATATCGTATTACTGTCATTACTGGAATAAATTTCAGAGATGAAATTTCTTTTTACGTAGAAGATTTGTATATGCGAGAAAAATGCTGTTATTTCTGTTCTCTCTAACATACAAGCGAAAGGCTCTCGTAATCCATGACTATATCAAATCCTTTCCCGTTTTCCTAATCTTCAAGGAAATCCCAGAATATATTTTTCATTTTTTCTTATACCTGCAGAAGACGTACTATCTAAAGGGTTTCTCTTTTTCTGTTTATAGGTATTTTTATAGATATAGAACATATGCTAGGCACAGAACATGTACTATTTGATAATATTACGAGATATTTTTCAAAAGATAGGCAAGTAAGAAACTGTTACGATTACGATATTATATTTGTAAGTCATTCTTATTAGTCGGATTATTATGCGTACTTAATTATTTAGAATGGTTATCTTTAGCGAAATCGTTATTATTATTATTATACGTTATACTCGAGCTAGTCTCGGAATTGCTCCAGCTGTCGCAACGGCACACCCGGCCACCGCCCGTCACCGAAACGACGTCGTCGAGTCCCGAGTTAAAATAAAATATGCAACGATTGCTGTGTCGTAAAGAGACTGAAACGTCGCCGAACGATGAACCAGAAGATTAATAGGCACTTGAAGTGCTTAGTCAGTGTAGTTAATTAAATACAGGTCTTGCAATAAATTATTCGCGCGATTGAACGTGCGACGAATTTGTACATCCATCCTATATGGGGTGGACGCGTATAAAATCAAACATTCTGCTTTTTAAGGACTGCTTTTTTCTTCCCGTTTTGCTCTTAAGGTATCCCTTAAGGCCTTAAGGTATTCGTAAACGACCTATATAGTTTTTTTTCTTCCTTTCCGAAATGCACACGTTCCGTTTTAGTATAATCGCACCTGTGGCAATTGTTGCTGAAGTTGCTGTAACTCGCAAGAGTCACCAGGGATCCGCAGGCGATGCCGAGCGAATAAAAGACTTGAGAGGCTGCGTCTGCCCACACATTTGCGTCTTGCAGCTTCGAAAAATCGGGATATATGTACCACAGCATGCCAGAATCAGCGCCTTCCAACGTAACACCTACGAAATTATCTCCCTTAGATCTCGGCAAAGTTACCTGTCCTCGTAACTACTACTACACGTATTATCGCGCATAGTACTATAATGATAATGATTTATCTTTACAAATCTATGTTGTCTAAGTGAGCGATACAATTTAAATATATCGGATACGTGATACAATTGTAATTAATTAGACACTTTTATTACTTCGTAAATTGCATTCATCTGCTTGGAGTAAAAATTTTAACCACACCCTAATTTTGATTATATTTTGTTCTACTTTTAAAAGCAACGCAGATATTTCACGTGATTAATGTTATATAATAGAATTATCAATGTTATAAATATGAATACCCTAAATATATTTGTAATCATCGAAACAAATTATCAAGAATCTTTATCGTATTCAAGAGTCATTGATTCATAAAAGAAGTTTGATAAGATTTAAAAAATTTTATTAAATTTATCTAAAAAATTGCACTTTAGAGTACTCGGAAAAGGTTGTTATTAAAATTATTTTCACAACACCTCCACGGAAAGTTCGACTTTCCATGCTTATAGAGAGGGGCTAATTTCACGCCAGGGCGGCATAGCGGGCGGAAAGTAACCACTTTCTTCCCTAGGGAAGAAAGTAAGCCCTGGCGTAAAATGGCCACTCTCGCCCCTTTCTAGGCATGGAAGTCGAATTTTCCGTAAAAGTGTTGTGAAAAATATCGTGTGCACCTCGGGTCGAAAGCTTTTTCAGACTCGTGTGATTTCTTCCCTTGATGCACAATGTACTATTTATATTCACACATACACACACTCTCACACACACACACACACACACACACGCACGCACGCACGCACGCACGCACACACACACACACACACACACACACACACACACACACCCAAGGTGTAACATAAATGTAGGCTGCTACTTCAGGGGTGTACTCGTCAGAATACTCGTCAAAATAAATTTATATAAATGTATGTCCAAAAATGTATCATTTTCACGTTACAGTCATGTTTAAAGGGACACGAAGGATACCACCAGTGGTTTCTTGGTGTCCTTATGTTTTTAAGGACACCTGAAACAAATTGTCTACTCCCGGCCTGTTGAAAATATTAATAATCTTCGTCAGTGCATTAAAAACGGGTTCAATGAATTACGCAACACGCCAGGTGTTTGTGAAAGGGTCGCTAAGAAGACGGGCGGAACAGTGTATTGTGGTTGAGGGCGGTTACTTTAATAAGCATTTGCTTTAAGGAGGTTCGATGGCTACAACAAAATGCAGAGAGTTTCATAAAATTTTAATATGTTGTTCTGGAATGCAAAATAGAATTATTTGAATTTTTTAAGAATTTTTCACCATCCAATTTTGAAAAAAAGTTACTCCCAAAATTTAAAAAGTACAATTTTTGGATTAGATTTTTTTCCAAACGGGACGGTGAAAAATTCCCAAAAAATTCACATAATTCTATTTTGCATTCCAGAACAACATATTAAAATTTCATGAAACTGGCTGCATTTTTAACATAGGTTTTTATGGGAAATGATATATTGCATATAGCTTCAGAATGAAATAAGTGCAAGAAAAAATGCAAATAATAAGGAAAAAAAATATGCACATGTAACTTAATAATTTACAAATAAATGAGCGAAAGAAAGGGGAAGGTTACCTCACATTTCGTAGAAAAATTAATTATTAAAGCATAAATCGCTTGATTTTTCGTCTGCTAGACTGCCACGGTCGTGAACGATGTGAACAGCAGCACGCATTATACGCACGCGGCGACCAATCAGAGCAATCCCCTTCATTCTCACTACTTCAAACGCTAGTGCGCTGTTTCCAGAACCCCCGCGTCCCACTACTCCCTTCGATGAAGCCATCGAACCTCCTTAAGATTTGTTTTATTTCACTTTTATTATCTGCTATTTTGTATTGTTAGAAATAAAATAATACGCTTTGTATTGTCTTAAGTTTTAACTCAAACATGACTGTAACGTGAAAATGCTGTAACGATGCATTTTTAGACATACGTTTATATGAACTCTTTTTGCTTATTTTGACGAGTAGAATACACCCCTAAAGTAGCGGCCCACGTTTATGTTACACGTTGTATATGAACTAATTGTAAGACATTAGCCGTGTGGGTGTGTGCGTGTATCTAATGGATTAAACCCAAAACACAAAATATATATCTACATTTAAGAACACCTTAACATTACAGTTATATAGGAGAGCCCGCTTTATTTCTGTTTCTTACCGCGTACTAGCAGAATTGTAAGAATGACGTAAGGGAAGAGCGCGGTGAAGTAGACGACTTTGCCGATGGTCTGGATACCGCGTACCAGGCATAAAAAGCACACTATCCAGGCTAGCGTGAGGCACCCGAACAGTTCCCACCGTATGCCGCCGAAGTTCTCCCATGTAGCTCCGCGCAGACCGAGAACGTAGTCACTGGACGCAATCGACAATTACACGCTTTGCAGGCGCGATCCTCACAACAATTTTTGTGCTCGCTCCTCAACGCTGAACAGCGGCGTAAGGCTCGTTACCGATCCTCCCGACACGATGCAGCGCTGATGGCAATGTACACCGTACCTGAAGTACTCCTCGGACGACAGTACTCGGTCGTAGAGTTCACCTAATGATTTGGTCTCGCCATTCGGGCCACCCCAACAGTGAGTAGTATTACCATCGTTGTAGCTAAAGCTGGAACAGACCCTGTGGATGGCCATGCAGGTCTTATTGTAAAATATCTGGGTTTTATTACTGTCCTGTTGACATTTCATATCCTGAAGATTGCTGTAACAATCTGTCGACATCAGCATTAAACACAGTTCAAAAACGAACGATCGTGATAGGATAAGTAATTTCTTGCTCCGTCAATAACATCTTTTTATAAAAATATAATTATTCGATTAGGCTACGTGTTCGAAAACTTCACTTGGGTGCACCCCAGCATCGCGCGTTCTGTCCTTGTTCAATTTTTAGTAAGTAACAAAGATAGAACGACACGCTGTGCATCCGAGTAAAGTTTTCGAACGCAGCATAGAATCCAAGTTATGTAATATGTAGTAGGTGACGCCAATTTATATTACTTTGTATCGCTGGCGGATCCATTTATTTGGAAGAGAGAGTTTCAATCCCAATTCCCCCTCCTCCTTCCAAATAAAAGAAATCAAGTTTTGCTGGATCTGTTCAAAAAATCTAGGGAAAAAATGCATTAAACGTTAAAGCAGGACCAGAAGTTTCACCGCGTTCTCATCGTCGATCCTGGAGTAAAAACTAAGCGCGCGATACTAAGAGAAATATCAAACCAAATAATTTTGCCAAAACCTCTCCCATATTATCGACGTCAAGATCCGCTAGTGCTTCGTATGATAAAACAATTAAGTCCCTTGATAAACCAAAGCATTTTTCGACTAGATTATTTTGTGTAAATCGTTCTTTGTGCAATCCTAAATAATGTAAATAACAATAAAAGGTAATAACAGTGCCCAAGAACTTATGTCTCACGCTAGTAGACGTTTATTCACGGTAACAGTTAACTACTTTCTAAAGTTAAAGTTTCGTTAAATCTTTTGCTTGTTTAAGTACGACGACGATAAGTTAAATGTTTGTCAACGCGCTAGTCTATTTTTACTTACCATTCGTGTTGAAATCATTGTCGCAGTACGCCCAGGCGAGTTTTGACATGCAAGAAGCGAAAGTGTAGAATAAAGTCCACGCGACTATTACCATATAATATGTCATCACCAAGAAGATGACGACCAATGTGCAATAACCTAGGCCATGAAAAGCTGGCGCCATGCGGCTGAAAGCTTTTACTGGCCCCAATCCAGTATACTGCCCCATACAAAGCTCCAAGAAGAATATAGGCAGACCCATTGCGAACAGTATGATAATGAAGGGTATTAAAAAAGCACCTGTAACAATTAATTATAGTCACAGTTTCTTATAATAATTTGAAGATAATTTTCTATTTAAAGCGCATATATTTTTACACTTTTATCATTAATGTGCATCAAATTTAACATAAAATATGCTAAAAATTGGCCAAAATTAGCGGGATTAGATATGTCTTACAAGTAGATTCGAATCTTTTATGAATCTTTTACTTTACTAGAAATTTTACGTTTTTTTGAATTAAAACGATTGTATAAAGCAACAATTATTTTAATATATTATTCTTTGATTACAAATACTTATTAGATTACCAATCGTTAATATTAATTATAATAAAAGTATAATTAAAAACAGAATACAAAATAAAAGAAATATAGAGTAAAAGTTACTTAAAAATCTTACACGTTTATACATTTTTTAAATTAACAACTTAGAGTTCGAGTACCACTTGTAAAAGATTTTGGAATCTAGAAACTACTAAAAAGTACACATTTCGCGAATCCTGCAGATACTCTAAAGTCAGATATTCTAAAAGTTGAAACTAACTATGTATAAGGATTAATTACTTCGTAAATACGTTGTATGAAATATTATTTTTTATAAATATTATTTGAATTTTAGGAAATGAAACTTAATTATTAGATTTGATGCAAATTTTCAAGTATACATATCGAACTTGATCCCATCCTTAGTCAAATTACAATACTTATTATAATTATAATAATAATATTCTCTCTCTACTAAATAAAGAAAGTATAATTCTTCTACTAAAAGTATAATTGTATTATTTTTATTTTATCGTTATTATTATATAACGATATTTATATAAAGATTTTTTGTGGTTTAAAGGATGATATAGGAGGTTTATAAGAAATAATCGTTTTGTTAAGTTTTGCAGATTATTGTAGTATAACTGTTTAAGAACAGAATGCCGTTGACTTGATTAAAATCACAAAATTGACGAAATTAGAACTGAAAATCCGAAACGGCGCAAGAAATCGATTTCTTCGCAGGTGATGGCGCGCCAACAAACGGTACCTGCGGATGGCTATTGTTATAGTAAGGGATCTTTCTTTAGAAATGTCATCCTAGGTTACAATAGGGTATTTCAAAAGTCTTCAAATCTGATTGTATACTGTCACATTTAAAAAATGCAGTCTTACGCTATTGCGTAAAAACATAATGTTCAAAACTTTAAACGCATTTTCTTGAAAGCAGCATTTTTCAAAAGTTGCCCTGCTTACTCGAAAACCAAGATAGATATTGATTTGAGCTTTACAAGAGTTATCGTATACGTACACAGAAAAAAAGTGTCAAATCAACACTCGATATGCTTGTATATACGCAAGAATATATAATTTTGAAATAAGATTATATTTGCGTTAAACGAAGAAAATTAGTGTTAAACGAAGAATTATATAGTTGAACCAACGCAATATAATCTTATTTCAAGATTATATATTCTTGCGTATATACAAGCATGCATATGGAGTGTTGATTTGACACTTTTTTTCTGTGTGTATCTTTACTGACTGAATCTATGCAATGAAGTTTATAGAAATTATTTTCTGTTGTTGTTATAAATAACGTCAATTTTTACGCGAAAATTAGAGTTTTACGCTTATATGTTGTTACTATTTTGTCATAATATTTTTCTAATAATCTATTTTAGATTGTTAAATCTAATAGAGCAAAGTATCTTGAGGAAAACTGGACCAGAAAATAGCAGATTGCTTCCTTAGAAATTAATCCTGGCAAAACGCAAAGCATTCAAAATTTTCAGGCCTATTTTTAATGACAGAAAATTCCTATCCCTTTTAATAAGTTTTGTATTACAAATTAATTTTTTACATTTTAAATATAGTAGTAAACAACACAGAGAACACACTGTGTCCATTTACTCCTTTCCCTGAAATAAATTCGTAAATTTTAGCTTCAATTTGATCTTCACTTTATATAAACCTCCTATCTCTCCTCCTATCTCTCCTTAATATTATTACGTTTTGAACTTATCTATATCTTAACGAATCCTTCATATTATTTCTTCTACAATCAACTACTTGAAAACTTCTTTCTTGCGAGGATTGAGTATCAAAGTGATACCTACCACATCACTAGTTTAAAGAGTTTGATAACTAAAATCTAATTTATTAATTAAAAAGTACTCATTCTGAATCACTTTTGTAGCTCCAAAAAATATCTTCTCACATCTTTATTTATTGTGACTATTTTTTTTAAATCCCCGGCGCGCAATCTTAAACTTCACGTATTAGTTTCTCAAAGTTTGTATCCATAATTTTTCGACGCCCCGTATAGGAACGAAGATACCGTGCACCGTGCACGTCGCAGTATAATATACAGAGCGTTCCAAGTTTTAACAAACTGTAACTAAACTGTACCAGCGTATTTTACAAGCAAAGGTAAGAAAACGATTCAGATAAATATAAATTTTCGGAAACTTTATTCAACATAGCTCAAACATAAACGGATTAGAGAGATGGAAATATTGTCGACCTATTCTATTTTGAATCTCAATTATAAATTTTTAATGAAGCACTTATGAGTAGAGACCGGATCGTGGTACCGTTTTCTCCACTCCAAGCGTGTGCTAGCGCCGTGAGGAGCAGTACCCTCCACGCCGCGCCGGTCTAATGAAGTAACGTAGCAAAAGGGTTACCGTCGCGTATATAAATATAAATATTTGTGTACTCTATGTGACGGTGCCCCCTTTGCTTATGGCGCTGAGTCGCTTGGAGTGGGGAAAACGGCACCGCGATCCGATCTCTGCTTATGAGTCTTTATTTATGTAACATTTTCTTCTATCTTTACCTTTACTCATTTTAACGTGCTCGCGCGCAATTTCGTCGTGACCTGGGACACTCTGTACAATTCGACGGTCACATCTGAGAAGCACGTATGTATTTCCCGTGTATACCATGGGACAGATACACACGTGAACCACGGTTATACGCGCGATACGTACCACCGCCATTGCGATATATTAAGAGAGGGAAACGCCAAACATTGCCGATGCCAACGGCATACCCAATGCAGGATAGAACAAATTCGATCTGGTTGGCCCAAGCGCCTCGCTTCGGCTCGTCCGGGCGCTCCACCAAAACGCCGCCAACTCCCAGAGAAACCCTCTTCACCTGCCAATAACACATGGGGAGCACATTATATTTGCATCATATAAATTATCGCAAAGTCGACGATGGAAAGATCTGACACGCGGACACGCGAGCGGCCGAAAAAGATAACGGAAAAGAAAAGCGGACCTCAACCGCAACATTCGGCTTTCAACATCAATTTGGCCTTTAACATATTTGCGCAAAGAGACTAGATGCACTCGAATCGGCTCAAATGCATCTCTCGAGTTTAACAGCAAAAATATTTAATCTAACCACGGAGGATTAAAAATAAGGTTACATATATAGCGAAGAGGTTTATTAATTTCTTAAAAATTAATTCTAATTTTATTAATTTGTTTATAGAAAGTACAATAAAGTGTCGTTTTAGATTAAGATGAAAAGATTTGTGATAAGATTAAGATCGTATGTTCCTATCTTCACTGTCAAGCTTCCGCACCTTGTGTACTAGTGAGAAAGATAAGCATTAACATTTCTTTGTCTATAAAAAAAAATTTCTATAAATGTTTATTTTAATCTTTCGATGAATATGCGAAACTCTTAAGAATAATTTTACGAAAAGTACAAAAATAATAAAAATAAAAATTATACTCATATCTAAATTTGGTTTGGATATGGATATTTTAAAGGATCAAATTTAGATACGCTTCCAAATTGTTTACAACATGGTAATTGCGGTAATTTCGACGAATATAGAAACATATTTATAGACAACTAGCATATGCGTCTTGGAAAGTATTTATAGCTTTCCAGGTGATAAGAAGCGAGGCCAAGTACTGACCTGTTTCTCTCTTCTGTATTACGAAATCGCTGCAATAATTAATCACAGCATATCGCTGATCAAGATGTGTTTGTATAGGAAAGTGACTAACCTGAGGCGTTTTCCTGGATTCTGTCATAATGTAGTATCCGATTCGACCGATCCTTGATTCCTCTTCAAGACCGCGTTGACGTCTGACGTCTGATCTATAGGCGTCGCGATCAGACGGCTATAGTAATATATAACGGCGACAAGATAATCCGAATTATCGAAGTGATTATATCAAAAGATAATTTCCGGATCCACTCAATCGGCCCTCACGCTGAACAAATAAGTTCGATCTTCTCGATTGGTCCGCGCAACGTTCGATGTTTTTTTTTTTTGTTAAAATCCGTACTATGAAATATCGTACTTGTCGCGAAAAATCTGATAAGACAATAATATCGCCAGATTTACAGATAACGAAGTGCATTTCTGAGAATGCGAATTCATCTCACAATCAGACACCTTCGCTGAACTGAAAGATCGAGTGTGTACGACATTCCTTTAATAATTGCTACCTTAGAAATTCTATAAAACTCTTAGAAAAGAAGAAGAAATGTTATTTATTTTATTTTAGAATCAATTTACCCAGTTTTAATATACAATATCTTAAGAATTCTAATAACAGTTAAGAATTCTATATAACGTATTCTCCTTGCATTCATAAGCTAAAGAGCTTCGGAAAAGCCCACTACAGAATCGTGTTATCAGAGGTGAGATCAACTTTCGTAAATATTCGAACAGAATTTACAGCCATCTGCAACGTTATCTAGAGATAAGACTGTAAGAAATCTCCAAGAAAGTCGTCTACTTCCTCTACTTTTTCTTTCTTTTACTATCGTGTGACGTATAGATAGAGAATGCTTATAAGAGCCGCAGATTTGTCGACTAATTAGAAATAAATTCTTCGTCAACTCACGGAAGACTATGGAATACAAAAACCGTAGTTAAATGGCAATTTCCTTTTCAGATCGTAAAACGGAAAAATGCATTTGGTCAAAATGGTTAAAATAATTAAAATATTAATTTAAAAAAATTTTTTTTTAAGAAAAAAGAGATTATTTTTTGCACATTTTGAGTTATGTAAAATAATTTTTAGATATGTCTAAATGTCTAAAAAAAGAAGTTAAACATGTAATCTTTTGTGGTCTGAACAGATAGAAGCGACTGATCTACAAGCTCGAAAAAATTTATTTTAAATTTTTATTTAATTTGTTATCTGCTGATGGAACACTCCTTGTCAAATAGAATAAAGAAACTCAATGGATAAAAACAGATTGAAAACTGGATTTAATTTTCTCACAGCACATGTGACTGTCACTTGTGCAAACGTGGACCTACTAAGCAAAAGGATTACCGATTATGCGGAGAAAGCAAGAACAACTCATATTTTATGCCGCTGTTCCGTATTTGTTTGCGAAAGATACAGATCCTTAATCCTGATATGTTTCATAAACTAAAGGATCTAAAAAAAGAGGGTGAGCAGTTTCAGCAGCATAAGCCTACTCATAACTTTTTAGATCTTGGCAGCTTCAGGGACATCTTAGCCTCATTCACTATTGCTATTACTACTACTACTACTACTACTACTACTGTTATCTAATAACAGTTATCTCTATTTGTATCTTCAATTTAAAATAAACAGAAAAAAAGAATGAATAATTACATAAGACTGTGACGCCACATCAAAATCTTTGAAGTGCTTTCCTGTAAAATCATATTTTTTGGCCTTTACATACCATTTTCTTGAAAAAAAAGGTACCATACTAATTTTTATATCATTTTTAGATCTCTTACAAAATAAATAGTTTATAATTTAATTGTTTAGTTTTAAACAATTACAATTTTTTTACAAATTGTGAGCATTAATGATTACAAGAGACTGACATTGCGAACCTAATTAAAATTCAGAAAAAGCTTATTTAGACAAAATAAAACTAATTAGTTAAAACATAACCAACTGTATGAGAAAAAGAATTAAAAATAATTCTCTATGTTGGTTCAGTGATTAGAAAAGGGAATATAATAGATAGGTAGTTTTGTCATATGATTTCGCAACTACTAGGGTCTCACTCTCACTCTTGTTCATTCCTTAATTTTCCTATATTTTTGCAACGGCTACGGAATGTAAAAAAGATTCCTCATACTACGATGTAACAAATCTAATATATTTGTCTTCGGCCACTATTGATTTTCCAGCTTATACGTTGCGGACCGCGATAAAATTCAGAAATGAAAGGAGCGACCGCGGGCGAAAAAAAGGGCGTGCCACTTTATCGTGGAAATGTCGACGACGGGGGAAAAAACTGTTTTATTCGGGAAAGGACCGGGGAAAGAAATGATCTCGCTATCGCCTGATCGCGTATGCTGGAGCATCGTGATAAAGGGAGAACGATTCTCGAATGGGAAAAGCGAACAAATCTGCTCCCACGGAGTGCCCGGGATAAAAGAGACGATTTGCAAACTTGCTCTCGGAGTGACACATACGGAAGCTCCGATTCCGTTCGGAAGGCAAACGCAAGCACGAAGTTATCGTTTATGAAGATCCTACCCGACAGAGAGAAAGCCGCGACAAACTTTATGAATTATGGAACAATCCCGCGACGGAAAAATAATAGGCGTCGCGTCGTTTCGTTTCGATTCGATTCGACTCGATTCTCGCGCTTTATGCGTCAGCTAAGCGTTTTTAATCTGGATCCTATTTTCGAGGTCCTATTTCCGATTCCAAATTCGTACCACGTGAAAGATTCGTGGCGAGAGGACTTCCCGGACCTCATTGTTGTGACATAATACGCGCAACTCGCACTTTTACGAAGCAACAAAAAACTGGACTTACATCCTCGTGTTGACCTTACGCAAGTTGGATCTAGTGTGACTCTCGTAACTCTGTTTACTTACAATGCAAATAGCCGAAAATAGAAAGTGACGTGGTACAGCACGTAGGTACGTACTACCGTTTCGTCGGGAAATTGCGCGTTATTGCGAGGCAATTTCTCCGACTTGGTCAATTCGACAGTTTATCTTTGGTCGCTTTATTGCATTTGCCCGGGCGCGGGTGGCACGCTAATGCAAACGTTTTTCTCTAAAGTTCTGCCCCACCTGTCCGCATTCGCCCCATCCCTCATTCCCTTTTATCCCTCTCGCCCTCCCCCCCGCCCTCTCCCTTTTGCCACCAGCGGGGGCGACCAACTATGCTGAGCAGATGCGCGATCGATGTTACCAATGGGCCGACCGCTAAATCGTAGCGTGTGTACCCGGTTACTCGAAGTCACGGCGCACTAACACTACGGATGAAATTAACAGAAGCGACCGCGTCGAAAAGGGTACTATCGGCAAACTTGCTAAGCTTGCGTCAGGGTCAATATAGTCATCCTCTTCCCCGCAGAATGTACACGCCTTGCGCATATGTGTATCCCTTTAAGCTTCCAGATTTTCGACGTCTGGACTCGTCTAGTTATGCCGCGCACATAAATCCTAAGTGCATCTCTTCCGATTGCGAATCCTATGTGCTTCTCCTTTTTCTTCTTTTCTCTGGATATCCGTGTGTCTCTGAATGGGACCCGGTGTCACGGATTTAGACTTCCATTTCCTAATATTTCCATCATACATTGTGTCGGATCCTTTTACAACAAACGGACGAGTTTATTATTTAAATATACACGGGAAAAAATTAGCTGAATTTAGTCGCAAAATATGGATAACTAACATTTTTTGCAGCGAGAGCTCTAATTTAGTAATGGTAGCAAAACCTTTTGTTCTTGCTGCAAAAAATATAGCTCTTACTGCAAAAAATGTTAGTTATCAATATTTTACGACTATATTAGCAATAGTAGCTAATCTTTTTTTTCCCGTGTATATATGAGATAATACACAGAGTGGCTGATAATAAATGTAATATCCGTAGGGTGGGCAGAATGAATTAAACTAAATAGAAAAGTCCGTTTTGCGATTGTAACAATAAATAATGAGTTATTAATTAATAAAGATCGCGAATTAGTATGTGCTCGCGAGATTCGGCGAGAAGAGACAGCTCAGCGTTTACGTTGATACGCGCGCGGCGATGGTATTAGAAGTGTAAATAACAATGGCTATACATGAAAGAAATTTATGCATAACCATTGTTGTTTATAAAGCGCTCCTCCTAATGCTATTATTTACACATTTTATTGCAGGAGATGCTCAAAGTGCCTACCTTGCACCTGATTATATCTGTATAATAAATTCCTTATCCTAAATCACTTTTAACATATCTCTAAAAAAAGAAACCAAGGGGGCATCAGATGATGAAAAACTATTGCTGGTGAGACGCAACAAATATGGGGCATGGGGTTTTCTTTTCTTCCCAAATGTGGCTGTTTTTGTTTGAAGGAACAGCAGTCAAGAGGCATTTTGAGGACTTTCTATAAAAATGTGTAAATAAAATTTAAGAAAAACAATTAAGAAGAAATACAAAAATAAAATTAAAGAACGTGTGGACTAATATTGTGACATGTCATGCTGTCGTGCGACCGATTGCCTATGTCACAGGCGCGGCGATGTGAACGAGGATGCGTAACCCCTCAAGAACGCGTCAAAAGACACGGGTTATAAGCGGGAATATAAGCGATTCTTTTAATAAAACCTACCACACTCTAAAATTTGTCTCACGGGGTACTAAAACATCCTATACATGTATAATACGAAATATTATATATTCGGGTCTCTGAAATGTCCTATACATATATACATATACAGTACACCCACGTATAACACAGAGAATGGATTCCATATTATGTGAATCCGTATTATACAGGTTATATTATACACAAATTCTGTATTATACAAATATAGATTATTATATGATTATAATCCGCGAGACGTATTTTTAATGTGACGACGTGAATGCAACACGTCTTCGATCTAGGTATGTGCAACTATATACGTGCAAATGGACCATCAACCGTCGAAAACACAAGTGGACGGAGAGTGGGGCATTTCCGGTGATCGTTGATAGCGTCGAGCACAACCGGGAACGATAATATCGCTCGCGCAAGCGCGATATTCCGGTCTAGGAGGAAGGTGAAGTAACCGGTCAAGTCACCTTCCGATAGTTAAGCGATAGCGCAAATACTCCCTCGACTGTTAAAACGCCACGATCAATAATTAAAGAACCACCGATAGCATCCATGTGTTACACCGTTGCTATCGGTGTTTCCACCGTAAAAGGCAGATCTTATTGCGAATATGTCGCGCATCCGGCGCGGGCGTACCCGACGTATCCAGGACGA